TTGCTCTGTTGCCCAGGCTGGAGTGCAGTGGCACGTTCTTGGCTCACCACGACCTCCACCTTCCAGGTTCAAGTGATTCTCCTGCCTCAGCCTCCCAAGTAGCTGGGATTAAAGGTGTGCACCACTACACCCGGCTGATTTTTCTATTTTTAATAGAGACGGGGTTTCACCATGTTGGCCAGACTGGTCTTGAACTCCTAACCTACCTGCCTCACCCTTCCAAAGTGCTAGGATTGCAGGTGTGAGCCACCATGCCCGGCCAGCAGGAATCCTTAATAGCATACAAAAGACTCTATATTGGTAAGTGAAAAAAACCACAAAATTATCTTTAAAGTATGATTCCAATTCAGTTTAAAAACGCACAATCAAAACATGGAAGAAATATGTCCAAAAATTAAAAGTGGTTGCTTCTGTGTTGTAAAATTAAGGTGAAAATCAATCTTGATTTAATTCCCCTACATCCATCAACCTTTTCAAAAACTTTTGAGGATGCTCTAAACTGAATACCTATTTCACAACCAGGAAAGAAAATTACTCTGAGGTCATATCATTCTTTCTTCTTATTATTGTTTAATACTGCCACCAAATCTGAAAACAATATCTGGCTTTGGAGTGTCACGTTCTTAAAGGTTTTCCACCCCTTCAATTTCTAAAATGGAATTGAGAAAAAAAGAAATTACAATCATAAAGTGATCAAGACCTTTTATTCCATAAGAGATTTTCATTTCTTTCATTACCAAGATTGTTCTTTTCAGAGTAATCACCTTGGTAGACCACAACTTGGTAGACCACACATTTATTTATAAGATAAGCCAGTTTGGAATTCTGTTTCTGGAAAGACTCTGCAGGCAGTTCACAAAGCCACAAACACCAGACAGTATCAATCTTCACAGTGACACAAGGTATGTAACCCCTGCCATCTGTATAAGAAGTACATCTGATATTTCATTTGGGTGGCATATTAATACAAGAAACTATGCAACTATTAAAAACCAACTATATTAGTATAATATAATTTAGATGAAGTAAAAAGCATGCAAAACAACACAATAAATTATTTTCAGAAGAGAGAGAATGTGTACACAGGAACCTAGGCTTTGTTCCCCTCAGCTCAGGTAGGAAGGCTGGGGGTGGAGAGTGCAGCTGACAAGGTTCCAGAGCTCTGGCTCAGTGTTTTGTAAATGGTCAAAGGCTCCACTAACCTACGTGCTGGGAAAGTGGGCACACATGTGCAGACTCCCCGTGATTAAGACACCCTGTGAATGGGTACAAAGGCCCTCCCAGAGCTTCCCACACAAAGCTCAGAGGCTATTCTGTCTATGCAAAGCCATCATGGGGGTGGGGATAGTAACCTCAAGTTATCATCTCTATTCATCATCTACTCTTCAGAGCTATTCAAAGTTTACATCTGCCACTGGGATAAACTAAAAAGGGCTCTATGTTTGGCTATTTCTCCATTAAAACCGGAATTCAGAAGACAGAGCAGTAGTGTCAGGTTCTACCCGTGCATGCCGGTGTCCTGGCCCTGAGCAGGGAAGCACAGCCATCTGAGTCTAACTCCTAAGCAATCCCTGCAGACAAAAGCCTCAGGAGCAGCACTTTTGTGATTTAAATCTAAGAGCTGAGAATAAACAGGGCTCTGACAGAAGAATACAGCCAGGGAACTAACTTACTGAGAGGTCCACCACTGTCTTGATGGCCTTTTCTTTTCTCTTTATGAAGTCATCATCCTACAAGACAAAACAGAGAAATTAAAGAAATCCCATGGGAAAATTAAAACTCCAGTGAACCACTCAGAATCTGCCTTATAAATTGACTTCTCATCATTACTTTGCCTGAAGAAGTCTCAATTTTCTAACAAATTGGAATATATTATCCATAAGAAAACTAGGAACCCTGAAGATGGCTCCAACATAGATCCCTACACAGCCAGTAAGAAAAAGGGAGTCATAAGGAGTAGTGCTAAAACAAGAGTTCTCATTTCAAATCCTCTTAAGCACTGAAACCTCCGGTAAGTTACTTAACCTCTAAGCCTCAGTTTCTCTGTCTGTAAAACAGAGATAAAAACACCTATCTCAGGAGGCAGAAAGGATTAAAGAACAAAAGCCACAAGATGCGTTGAGACTGGCATGTAGTAAATACATGATGGCTATTAGCTATTACTGTGGTAATTATTATTATTATTAAATTGTTACTATAGAGATATTCTGGGCAAGTGGCCTCTCAAAAAAACTTTATACAAAAATCAACCATTGTTCTTAAGTTAATAAAACAAAGTTTTAGATCACATACTAAAAGTTTTAGATCAAATACTAAGTTAATAAAACAGTTTTAGATCAAACACTAAAACTCAGAGAAAATGATAAAATTATAGAGCTTTGCACTCAGTGGCTGTGAAAAGAGGCACTAATGATGCCAAGTAGGAGGTGGGATTATAGGGGAGCCTGAGGTTACTCGGCTCCTTGCAGGGGAGTCTCTAAGTGTGCACTCTGGTTCTCAGTGGAACAAGAAGAGAAAATCACAATACTGACCTCAGGGAGACTATAAGTCTTCTGGAACTGGGATACAGAGTAGGAGCGGATATAGTCACCCATCTCTTCTTTTGTTTCTATAGCTCGTTTCACCAGCCACTGGGGAAGAAAGTGAAAAGACCTGAGTTGCTAAGGAAAACATTCCACTGCAGTGAAGGCCAATTCAGACATGGCACAACTCATGAACTCAAATCAGCATAGCTGAGCTGAACAGGTGATAAGAAACTGTCACCACATTCTGTCCTATAGGAAAAGCAACCAGCTGGACATCCCAGATGTTAAGATCCAGTGGGACCTAGTGCTGAGTACTCATGCAGGAGCTTTAAAGCCTTAAGTAATATCGCTGAGCCTCAGTTTTCCTTTCTGTAAAAGTGTATCAGTTTCTTTCACCTCACAGAGCTACCATGGGAGCAAATGAAATCACAAGTAGAAGAGTGATTTGTAAATAAATGAAGCACAAAACAGAGTTATCTCCCAACTTCCTGGTCCTACTGGCAGATCTTCATATAAATCTTTTTCCTGTGCTCCTTACACCACAGACCAGGCAAAGGGGAGAGAACCACAGCAAATGCTAGTGTAACTTTCCATTTGACAGATGAAAACATGTCTAAAATACTCAGATTCAACAATGGTGCATACTGAGTACACAGCTAAAGGCATTGATTTATCCTGACATTCACAACATTCTCTCTTAATCTTCACAACTTTGGATAGTACTGGCTGAGTTTTACAGAAGCTGAAATGCCAGGAGACTATATAACTTACTCATGGATCCATAGCTAGCAAGCTGCAAAGCTGGGAGTCACAACTCAGAGACTATTCTACAAGGAAGATTGGACAAATGATTTTATGAAATGTTTCCCAGCTTTGTTAGGCTGATACACAGAAACAGCTGCTCTTCACTTCTCCCAATTTAAAACTCCAGTTATTATCATTAAAACACTACCCCACTAAAACCTGCAGAAGATCCAACTAGTCTGAGGGTAAGGTTGTAAAGTATAAAAAGAACCTTTGCTTTTCCTCCCCAGCTCTTCATTCATTCTCTTTATTACTGAAGAACATCACAGAGGGGTTCCACTCCCTCCTCAGAGAGAGCTACTACATCTCAAAAGCAGCTTTTGGATAGTAGTTGTGTTTCACCAAGCATAGCACACTTCGTGAGGGTTAGCCACCTAGGAAAGCAGGCACATGGCACATAACACAGTGCTGCATGGTGCTCCTGCAGGGATAGGAAGAGATGCTTGTTCATAAATCACAGCCAGCTCAAGTAAAGCACATGTTTAGGAAATAGCTGCACAGAACAGAGATGACTACAAATAACTCTATGAGGAATATTACTTGCTGTTAGTATCTTCCATATTTCTACCACTTCACACCCAAACAGTGACCTCTGGCACTAACTAAAATCCAGAACCAGATACAGACGATCAGAGAGCATTCAGAACAATTGTAGCCCCTCACCTATACTCCACCCCAGTACGATGGCCCAAGACAACTAAGGGCCAACTAAGGCCTTTAGGTCATTGCTTAACTCAACTTAGCTCTGCTTTCTTTTGAACTGGGAAACCCAGTTTCTGGCTTTTCACATCTGCTTCCCTTTCAGAGCTGCTTCCACTAATCCCAGATCTACCCTAAGTTACTGCTTGGCTGGATCCTGGAGATCATGATCCCACTAGGAAGGGAAAGCTTGTTGAGTCGTAACAGCTGTTTTGGAGTTTCCAGCATGAAAGTCTATACAGGGAAACTCTTGGACAGCCTAGCTCTGCCACAGGTTCCCTAGTACTCAAGAAAAATATCGACATTCACAGGACTCACATGTCCAACACAGGAGAAAAAAATATGACCTAGAACCACCAGGAACTAGAAGTTAGAGCTGTTTTCTGGCATTCAGATAACGTTACTACAGCTTTGCTAAAATGGCATGAACACGATCACACAAGAGAAGTAGGTCAATGGCTTCAACTGCCGGCCCATGATTATTCTTTCACTGGTGGTGGGGGCAGGGTGGGGGTGGGGGTGGGGGTGGAGGAGGATCAACAGGGAAAAACTACAAGCACATGGTGACTTTCATCATGTTAAACTTATTTAATTTGAGGAACTGCTTTTTTCTGAGCTTGATAATTAAATGGCCATTCTTTTAGGAAAAGATAAAAGAACATAGTAGTTATTTTTTTAAAAGTGTCCTTGCCTGGCAAACTACAGGTGGCAACCCAAGGCCAATTCATTCTTGCTTTAAAATTTTACAAGTCCATGAAATTAAGAAATTGTAACCACTAGCCTGGGGCCTCCCATCCAGACAAACCTTCTAGCTTTCCACTCACAAGGGAGAACATTCAGACCCTCAAAACACCTAAACTGACTGCAGAAGGTCACTTCCCATTCTTCTTCTTACAACCTGACTAGATTTTTTTGCCCCCCAAGTCCTAGTGTAGGATTAAAAAAAGGTCTAATCTCTAAAGATCCACGTTTTGAGGGAAAGGTAACAATGTCACAGTTTGATGATGTCGTAGGTTTCAATAATAATCAACACAGGGCCCCAACTTTCCACTTTCACAGAAACAATCAGGTAGTGTCCCCTTGTATCAGGAAAGACAAAAAGGCTAACATACAAATCAATTTTAAGGTAAAGTCTTGGCCTCAAATTTACAAATTTCATAGCAGTCGATTTGAAGTCTAGTGAAGGGGAAGATTCAACACGTAACAGTAGTAACAGAAACAAGTATATAGCACTTAGCACTTACTAAAACGGTCTTTCATCTACCTGCTTTAGACACAATCAACTTAATTCTCACCCTATCATGTAGGTGCTATTATTACTTCTATTTAACAGAGAGAAAGTTATTTACCCAAGGTCACATAGAGCTAGAAAGTGACAAATCTGAACCCAGGAAGTCTCCAGGGCCCATACTCTTGACCCCTACATTTCATAATCTTAACACAGAACTAGAAAACTTTTCTAACTTCTAGGGCTGTGTACCTTCCTTCTCAGTGGCTGCATGAATGGAGGAGTGGAAAAAGCACAGGCTTGGAGACACAGTTTAAACTGAAACCTTTGCTTGTCCACTCAATAGCTCTCTGCCCTTAAGCAAATCAATTACCTTCTCTCAGTCTCATTTTTCCCAAATGTAAGGAAATTACATTTCTCACTTTCCTCAAATGTAAGGGATTATAATAAATGCTTCAAAGAACTCTATTAGGATCAGACAGGAAGTAGTGTTCACACAGCTAGCAAAACATCTGAGTCCCTTTGCGCCTCCTCTTTCTGAGATGCCTAGAGAGGAAGCCCATATAGAATGGCACAGAATGCAGTTGTCCCAAGGAATCTGTGGGGTATTGGTTCCAAAACTCTCTAGATACTGATCCACAGATGCTCAAGTCCCTGATATAAAATGGTACAGTATTTGCATACAACCTAAACACATCCTCCCCTACATTTTAAATCATCTCTAGGTTATAATACCTAATACAACGTAAACAGTTGTTATACTGTATTTTTACATGTGTACTATTTTTTTTCCCAGCTTGTTAAATTTGTATTACTTTTTATTATTGTATTGTTATTTTTATTGTGTTTCTCCCCATCCCCAAACATTTTTGACGCATGGTTCACTGAATTTATGGATGTGGAACCATGAATATGAAGGGTCAACTGTTTGAGAGCTGTACAACATAAGCTACTTAATCATAGGGGTTTCGGAAACAGCTGGAGGCAAAGAGAAGTCTCCCTTTTAGGCATTTAGCCATACCGACTGAATATCTACACATTGTAAGACATTCTGGTAGGTACTGGAAACAAAACAAGCAAGACACCCATGCAGCCTTACTCTCATGCAGCTTTCAGTCTAATGAGAGAAGCAGATAAACAATCACACACATGGGTATACATGATTACAGACTGCAGTAAGGCAGATTCTGGTGAAGGAAGGGAATGTGGCCATAGGAATGCATACCATAAAGGAACATGCTGTGGATTAGGGGATGAGGGAAAGCTTTCTTGAAGAGGTTTGGTGGAACTGAGATCTGAAGGGTTGAATTAAGCCATATGAATTAAACAGGTAAGGAGAGAATGGAAGAGCATTCCAGCCCAAGGAACCAGCAAGGCAAACACACTGTGACAGGTGGAAGCATAATAAACCTGGGGAAATCTGAATGAACATCAGAGGGGGCTAGAACCAAAAGAACAAAGAAAAGCAAGGAATGAAATCAAGCTGGATAGGTCAAAAGGGAACACAGCATACCAGGCTGCAGAGTTGTCTTTACCAAAAGGGCAATGAATAGCCAGAGGAGAACATTCAAAGATCTTAACAGGTGACAGCAGGAAACTAGGGTATATGCAAAACCAGCAATCTTCTGAAGATGACTGCAAGGAACACTGCTATGTTCCACCATACCAAATCTATAACACAACCGTTAAATTCAGGATCCAGGACAGATGGGCCAATTACAGCACAAGCCAGGTCCATTATAGGAATTCTGATGTTTCAGAGGACAAGAAACCATACAGAAGCTCTCACCTGAACAACAGGAAATATGTGAATAAAATCCATCCCTTGAATCTGGTGGGGCTCCAGCTGATGTGGGCATTTCATCCTTGGCAGGACCGAGACAATTTTTTCTGATAGAGCTCTGTTCAGAAAAAGCAACAAGCAAAGAGTGAGACACACAAAGTAGCCATTATGGCATCTCTAAAGTCTGGGCAGCATTACAGAAGGATCTGGGCCTTCTCCATGCCAGGTTAATCCAGACCACGACAAGTTTCTCCTAGATGACAGCAAAATGAGAAAAATAAGCACAATTTAGTGGGGGGGGTGGGTTGTGTGTGTGTGTGTGTGTGTGTGTGTATGTGTGTCCATAAAACTGCTTTCATCCTTTATTCTATGATGTTTTTCTTCCTTTTTAGATATAAAATATTTTTTCTTTATGAAATGGTGATGTTAGAAGTAGTAACTATTTTTTTTAACATCCTTACGTAGTAAGGTAAAAAGTTATTAGTGCCCCGTATTCTTTTTACATTTCATTTTACTGAGCTACTCTTTCTAAAAGTTTGAAAAAAATATTCTAAATATCATTTAGGCAACAAATTACCAGACCTTACACCAGGTACCCAGAATACTAAGACGAAACATGGAGCCCCATTTCCAAAAGATATTTGGAGTTCTCTACTCTGGTACAAAAATATTTTTAAAATAAATAGAAATCTTTAATTTTTTGATACTCTAAAATAAATCCTAGAGTTGAAGAAATTGTGTAACCTCACCCTTATTTCCAAACAGAAGAGATATTTTCTGCGTCTCATGAGGGATACTGACCTTTCTCTAACACCTTGCCTCAGTCTTCTTCCTATGGAAGACGATAAGGCAGGACTGGAAAGGGAGGAACCAGGCTCCCTGAGGTCCCAGAGTGTTCTTCTCTGTAAGGCAGGTGGTAAGCATTCTCTCCTGCTAGGGAGGTTTCTCAGCTCAGCCTGAGCTGGGGCAGGACAGTTTATGGCAGCAGTGGCGGAGAGATTTGTATGCAAGTCTGTTTTATTGCAGCTTGAAGCCTCCTTCCTGAATCAGTTAGCATTTGATCTCTAGCTATGTGATTCCTGTTTCTTATACTATCTTAATTGGATCAGACTCAAGGGGAGAAAAATATATTATTCAGTAGTATGCCTAACCACAAAGCCACGGTATACAGCCTGGGAATGTTGAGAAGCAGTGACCAGGCATGGCCTTGTGGATATGTGGAGAAATAGAAGCTTCTGGCTCAGCCTACATGATAGGTTATATTGCCACACAAGAGCCTTTAAAAAAATCTTAGCCAGTCACAGGAGCTACTGTGGCCTTATAACCAAGTATAGTACTATGTTCTAATAGACAAAGGTCCAGGTTAAACAAGGGTCACTTAGAACTTCTAGGTGCTTCAAATCCAACAAGTTTTGGGTCTACCAAAGCGTTTCTTGTTCAAAGAAGTCTTGTCCACCTTTATCTTTCTGCATTTCAATAATCCTTCCCAGGAGGCAGATACCCCCAAGACCAACATCTGTCAGGCCTGGGTGAGAGTTATTATCTTACCTTTGTTTCCCTTAGTAGGTTTCACCCCTCAGTCTTAGTATTAATAGTAACTAGGTGACCTAGGAGCTAAAGTTAAGCAGCCCCACCAGGAAATGGTCATTAGAGAACACATTAAGAAACAGTGTCTGGTATCTGGAAAATAGCTTCACAAGTTGGGACCAAGGTTAAAACTGCTGAGAACAACAGTAACACCCCACTGATCATAAGACCAAATGTCAGGTCCAATGTGTTAATAGAAAAAAAAAATATGGAAGGGGGAAGATTAATACCTCACTGCACACATTCGTAGACGAGAGGGAATATCTACCTCCCAGGAGGGAAGCATATCAAAGAATTATTTGCTGCCTCTTCCCCGTCACCCTTCCTCCCCAACAGAAGCAGGCGTGAGGAGTGATTTATCCAAAAGTCCTAAGAGGGGCCAGGCCAGGTAGCTCATGTATGTAATCCCAGTGCTTTGGAAGGCCAAGGTGGGAGGTCACTTGAGGCCAGGTGTTTGAGACCAGCCTGGGCAACACATTGAGACCCTGTCTGTATAAAAAAATTTAAAAATTAGCCAGGCATGGTGGTGCACTCCTACAGTCCAAGCTACTCTAAAGTAGGAGGTGGGAAGATCACTTGAGCCTGAGTTTGAGGCTGCAGAGAGCTAAGATCATGCCACTGCACTCTAGGTTCTGCAACAAAGTAAAACTGCTCTTAAAATAAAACAAAACCAAAAGTCCTGAGAAGAAGAAGAAAACTGTCATGCAGCTCCCAGCCATTCCTGGTGCCCGTCCTTTCTGGGCAGCCTGTCTTTGGGATACACATATCTTTTCTGCCATAAGATGTGTTGCCTGCCCTACAGGAGAAGCCTGTGGTTGCAGGTCTGCTTGGGACTCACATGGGATAGGTTGGTAGTGAAGTACCAACAAACCCATTTGGCAACATATCCAAGGCACTCTCTCTGATAAGCTTTATTTTTTTAAATTTTGATCTCCATCAGACTCTCATGCTTATTTCTTAGTTTCCTTGAAACTTGTAAAATGAAGAAATGAGTGTTCAACTGGAACTGCTGCTTAAACTCCAAGCTTAGCAACTAAAAAAAGAGTATCAGTCCTGGTTTTGCTCAGTGCAGGTCTTAACTATCTATACAGGGGCACATGATCAATACAGCCTTTGCTTAGTTACATTTTGGTTCAGCAGGATGAGCGCTCCCTCTTGTGGTTACAGATATTTTGGTTTGTGTAGAGCTATCAATTGCCTAGAACCGTAGTAGCTTAAAAACAAGAGGCTAGGATCCACAACACCATCCAGCCTAACCCCCTGCCTTCAGACATAGCTGTCCCTGGCCACTCTACGGAGCCAGCCTACTCACCCAGTTCATAAAGGCCCAGAGAGTAGGCTATCACAGGTCATCCTAGGATTTACAACCCTCTTAAACCCGCCTCCCAGAAATTACTGCCAAGTCTGGATAGTCCTGGCAGTCAAGATAAGGACATAGAGGAAAATGCAGGCAAGCTGGGGGGCAGGGAAAGAAAGTGAGGAATACTTCCAGAAATCTAATAACCCCCATTCAGCTTCTCCCTGCAGCTCAAGGTGGATTCTTCAGATTTCCTAAAAAATCACAGAAAGTGACAACTGCAGAGGCAGGTTTCCTAGACTAAGATTTTAATACGCCCAGCTGTGATTAGTTTGATTCCTTTCATTTTTAAGAGTGTTCGGTACACTGTTTTCTTCTCCACTGCAAACAGTTTGAAAGACAGTGAATTAAACCTGGGTCTAAATTCAAGCTCCGCCACCAATTCTGAAACTTTTGGCAAGTAACTCGGTCCAGATCCAATACTCCGATCATAAAACTAGGTTTAATCCTGCTGTAGTGAAGGTAAAATAATAAAATACACATGCAAGTGCTTGTAACACAGGTGCCCAATAAATATTTGTTGTTGAAATAAACTCAGTTATAAATGTAAGATCTCATTATGGGCCTCCAGCCATAGGACCCTCTGTTAATGGGGCTTCAGAAGAGGATAGAGATGGAGGATAGGAGCTTATGGAACTCTCAGCAAAGAAGGATGACAGGGAACAAGGACTCAATTGGGCACATAAAGAAGACAGCTTGAGAGACAACCATGCCCTCAATAGGTAAGTGCACTCCTTGGATGTATGTCCAGCCCGCCCATCAAATTGACTAGATATACTGAGAAATTGCAAACATAGGGCTGTTTTAGTCTAAACCGCACCTAACCAGAAACTCTATGGGGGTGGGAAACTCCAAAAAAAAAAACACATTCCAAAGCCAAACGGAAGAGGCTTTTAGGTGACTCAGTACCCTGTAGCCATAACATGTCTTCTACAGATAATAAAGAATGAGCTCTGTGATGCACCGCTGAGTCTGGTGGGTCCTTAGCCACGTGAATCCATTTCCAGCTTTGTGCACAGTTACAGTTCATGGGTCTGCACTTAAGAGACACACATCAAGCACTTACCAGAGAAGGTAACACAACCTCAATCCTTTATCCAAACTCTTTGGGTTAGATGTGTTTCAGAATTCTGAATTTTTTACATTTAGTTCCTTAGAATACCTAAAGGATACATACTATATATTATGTAAGAACCCAGAAAAATCTAGAGCCACACTCTATAATAAAAAAAATATTTATTCGGCAAAACTTATGAATATTCACATAAGTGGGATCAATAAAGCTATAAATTCATTCAATTCAGGTCATATTTTGCTCCCAAATAAACTTTATATCTAAACTTTAAAAGAAGAAAAAGCAATTTTCAGCATCTTTTAAATTTCAGAAACATAGATGAAGAATGGAGAATACATATAAAAAATACTGTGTTCCATATCTATTAGAAATATAATGGAATGTTGCCACTGATGGGAGTCTACCATATCCCATAAGGATATCAAAATGAAAATAGGGCCTAACAACCACTGTAAAACTCAAGGGGGAATTTACAAAGAAAGCACATGTGGAATCCAAGAAATAGTAAAACCAGCATGGGAAAAAGTTAGTTCCCTTCTCCCTACCTTTAGGTTTTCCATAGAAAAACTTACATTTTTTGACCTATTGTAGAGTTTTCTTGAAAGAGCAAATCAACATCTACATCAAAGTTGCAAGTGGTGATACACCAAGTCATTCCTCCAACTACCTGCAAGACACAAAGAAAATATTTGTATTCTCTTTTTAGTTTGGGGAGAATGGAAGAAGTAGAAGGCAGGCAAATTATAAGTAGCTCGAATAGACTCAGTACACACACAAAATTATATATCTTGAGAGACAGAGAATGTGTCCTCCTTACCCCATCAACTATAATTAATCTAAAATGGCACCTCTGCAGAAAACTTTCTGCCGTGACAGAAATATTCTGTTATCTGCATGGACCAGTAGAGTAGCTACTAGCCACATGTGGCTGCTGAGCAGCTGAAATGTGGCTGGCATGACTGAGGAGCTGACATTGATTACTAAATGAACATAATGTACATAGATCCTCTTTACAGTCAAAAGGACAGACATTTATTCTGTGTTTTACAGACCAGAAACACAGGTAGCAAGGCTGACATTTTGTTGCCATACATCTTATTTTTCTTATCTACCTGAGATGAAAACCCCTGGCTCTACTTTTCCCTCAGGAATTCTCTGAGATGCAAATGACAGTAAGACTAAAAATCCATTTTAAAACAAAATTCTTTTCAGACACAGCTTGATATTAGAAAAAAACAACTATGAATCTTACCCCTGGCTGTTTTAGACTCTTATGAGTTGCCGGATAAAAATGTAGATTCCAGGGCCTGAACTCAGACCTACCTAATGAGAATTTCAATGAATGAGTCCTGGGTTCTGTATTATAAAATAACCCAGAGTGATTCTGTTATGCACAGCTGGGACTGTGACGCCCCTGGAGCACTCAGCACTGTCTTCCACAGCCTGCCCTGTCTGATTTGGATGTGTCCTTTCTGTACACAGTCTGCTGTGGAACTTTCTACAACATGCTATTTATTCTGTGGATGTTGATTTACTTGCCTCTCATCCCTATTCTACAGAAATTGGGCTCTTTGAGAACTGTGGCTTTGTTTTTTCTCTGTGTCCTATTACTATGATTTATGCATCATCATTCAAGGTTCTGCTGAATTAGAAGATTTCATTGCACAGCGATCTTTCTCACGTCCTAAATCAGAGCATTTACCATCTGCAGAATATCTGGCAACTGTCTGTGAGCATGCTGATTTGGGATAGCTCATTACTAACTGATTATTTTATTTTCTATAAGTTTTATAATCCCCACCCAAAACTGTAAATTCCTTGATAGAAGGAACTATTTATTTTGCTTCTTTGTATTTCCTAAAACTTTGTGCACATAAAAGGAACTGATGACATATTCACGATATATCATTTCTGTCTTTGAAAAGAAATTTGAACACTTTCATAATGAATGTGAATTAGGAAGAAATGGCAACACAGGCATGGAGGAAGTTAAAACATCATCTTTTCCTCCTTTCTTTGCCATGATTAACCACGTCATTCTGACAAAAACAGTCTAATGGTTAGAAAGATTTCCCCTTACCTTGTCAAAGGGTGACAAGCCTTTAATTCTTGCCCTGAAATACCCAGCTGCAACCAAGAGCTCCAGAATTTCAGTCAACTTGACATTTTGTTCTTCATCTTCTCTTGTTTCCACCTAAAACAAAAGGTCAAAGTTTGACTGGTAAAATCTATCTGAATAAAGGAACACCAGGTATATCCCCTGATGCCACAATCTCTTTGCCAAGGAGCAGATAACATGGGCTACATCACTGCAATAGATTCTCTGATAATTCAGCAAGCTTCACACAGAAGCATGAGTACAGTGTTGCCAGAGTCACAAACAGGTCCCCAACCCTCAATGGGCTGTTAGTCTTCATAGCTGAGGGAGACACATGCCCAGGTAGCATACACTACTCATCACATGCTGAAGGAATCCAGAAGAAGAAAGATTAGAGTAAAATACTTCCTTTTTCTCTAACCCATGGTTTACTTTGACAGTCTTCTCAAATAAATTATAACTCCTTAACAGACAGGAACAAAGTTTCATGATGTTTTCTAAAAAAAAAACTACACTTAAGGCCAGCGTGGTGGCTCATACCTGTAATCCCAGCATTTTGGGAGGCTGAGGTGGGTGGATCATTTGAGGTCAGGAATTTGAGACCAGCCTGGTCAACATAGTGAAGCCCTATCTCTACTAAAAATAAAAAACTTAGCCAGATGTGTGGCACATGCCTGCAGTCCCAGCTACTTAGGAGGCTGAGGCATAAGAATTGCTTGAACCCAGAAGGCAGAGATTGCAATGAGCTGAGATTGGGCCACTGCACTCCAGCCCGGGTGACACAGCAAGACCCTTTATCAAAAAACTATACTTCGCTGGGTGCAGTGGCTCAGGCCTGTAATCCCACCACTTTCGGAGGCCAAGGCGGGGCCGATCAGTTGAAGTCAGGAGTTTGAGACCAGCCTGGCCAACATGGCAAAACCCCATCTCTACTAAAAATAAAAAAATTAGCTGAGTGTGGTGGTGCATACCTGTAATCCCAGCTACTCAGGAGGCTTAAGCACAAGAATCACTTGAGCTCAGGAGGCAGAGGCTGCAGTGAGGCAAAACTGTGCCCTTGCACTCCAGCCTGGGCAACAGGGCAAGATTCTGTCTCCAAAAAACAAACAAAACATTTTATGCTCGTCCAGGTCCCAGAAGTTACTGAGAAGAGGCATAGAAATGAAGAAGGGAATTCAAATATGTATCCCTCTCTGCACTTTCTTTTTTGATCTCGAAAAATATATGAAAGGCTGCCAACCCAGATATACTAAACGGTGATTATTGCTACTTAATGGAATTGCCTTAAAAATAATAAATTCATCTAATATATTTAAATCAGTGTTTTGATTTAAAATTTTTAATTTATATCCTCCTTTTACCCCACAACTTTATCTAATACTTAAATCCATCTAAATAATCTAATACTCCTTCATCTATTTACTATCATGATGAACTACCTTGCCTCTCTTTCGTTGCTGCAAAAAATAAAAAACCATCTCTATACAAAGCACCAACAAGATACCCCGGTTCACATTCTCATACTCCTGACTACTCCCTTACCCAACAATGCCTGTTAAGTCTTCCTTTACTATGCATCTCACATTTATCCTCTCTTCCCTTGTACTCATACTTCATTCCAGGGCTCTTGCAAATGCTTTATCTTTCTTCCCTGTTAATTTGTTTTGCTTACCCCTTCCTAAATCACAGCTTTCATGTTAACCCTTTTTAGCTCACCCTCTCAGCCCTTATCAACAATCGGTCACACACACTGCCTCTTAGATAAACTCCAGATGTCTTAGTTTCACATTCAGATCTTTGGCCACCAATCTATCTTTTCAGCTTCATCCTTTAACTCCCCGCAAAACAACCAAGATGTTCATGGCTATGACATTGTCTAACTATTGAGAAATCACTGTCATATTCCAGCTCCCATTCAAAGCCATCTCTCACAAATCTAACCTGAAATGGTCACTCCTCTGCATTTCTATTTTATTTGTAGTCTATGCTGTATATATAATTAAATATCAACCTCTTCTAAGTGAGATATGTAGTGTTATGTACATGCTTCTCTTTCTAACTGGACTATTGGTTGGTTAAGGAGAGGACTGTATTATTATCAACTTGGGTTTACTCCTCTGTATCAAAATAGCATTAACTTCAAAGGACACACTTATTAATGATCTATTAATGCTTATGAAAAGTAAATGAACCTAAACCAGTCATGTATTAAAATGTTTTGGTAGTCACATCCTTGACAACAGAAAGTTTATTTTGATGTATAAACTGCCAGGAAAAGGAGTATACATATTAAAATACAGTTAATACAGAATTATTAAAGTGACTGATAATCCCCTGCAATAGAGTAGGAGTGGTGTGGGGGAGGTGACAGCACTGAGCTACATCCTTCTCTGAAATGAACCTGGTCCAGTCCTTTAAGGATCTTGAAGATTAGCATTCACTAGTTCCTAGTGGACATAAACATTTTCTTAAGTAATATAAATTATTCACACCTTCTATCCCTTCTGCAAAAAATCTGGGATGGTTGAGAAACATATGCAAGTGTAAGACTCTAAGGAAAGAGAAGCTAAAGCGCAGCTGTAGTTCAAAATGTTAGAGCAGAAAAAGAAAATGACGTAAGTACTTTCCTAAAACTTCTGGGGTGTGAAACAGGAACTCTTCATTTGTTCAGTCATTTACCATGAAAACATCACTTATCGTGAAAACACTTCCAAGAAGAGGACAAAAAACAAACAAAAATAGGAGGATCGACACTGCCTCAACACTTATCTAACGGCACTCACTGGCCACCCCACTACAGATGCATGGACCATGCTTCCATCCATTCACCCCTGGAATGGAGAAGTATACTTCTACAATATAATTTGTGAAGTAACTTTTTGGCACAAGACACCAAATGGGTATGTTTAACTCCAAATTCACTTACTAGTTCAACACAGAAACAAAATGGAAAAGGGCCACTGCCTGGCATGCATGGAATGAAAGAAGACCTTCTCTTGAAGACATAAAAAGCCACCAGCCTGGTTAATTACATCCAGATGTTAAAACTAAATTTCTGACAAAGATGAACAACAATGAGCTCTTAAACCAAGTCCAATAAATTTTCAATTTCCGTGCACTATAGTTCTTGTAAGCTGGAAGGCAGGGCCAAGTCTAGTTATCTTTGTAAAGGGTTAAAAAGAATGAATTTGGGCCAGGCAGTGGTTCATGTTTGTAATCCCAGCTACTGGGAAGGCTGAGGCACGAGAATTGCTTGAACCTGGGAGGCAAAGGTTGCAGTGAACTGAGATCACACCACTGCACTCGAGCCTGGGTGACAGAATGAGACTGTCTCAAAAAAAGGAAAAGAATGAATTTAATGAATTAACTAGTCTAGTGACAGCCTGATAACACAGACTATCCATATTTATATTTACAAGCTTCTGAACTAAAGGATAACAATTTGATTATATTCACCCTGACCTCATAATTGCCAGGAACTGTCTCAGGTTCTTCGAAAACAATTACCAATTAGACCTGGCCTCTTAGCAGTCAGTCAAAGTTTAAACAAATGACACACAGCAGCAGTTTGCCTTTTTTTTCTTCTTCAGAAGGACCTCCACTGATAGTGCTGTAGGATATTGGGTTGGAGGGATTTAAAGTAGAACCTGCGAGCCCAGAAAGGGGTCTACAGCAAAAAGCCAGGCAAAAACTTAATGAGAGCCTAGAATAAAGAAGCGGCAAAAAAGAAAACTTCAAATGTCACAGTGCAGATACTATTGTTCACTATCCTGAGTCACATCAAAGCAACATGCATGTAAGGTTTTAACTAATACAGGGGTTCTGACAACATTACGCTTGTTAGGCTTTCTTAAGACAACAAAATGGACTTGCATTCTGGGAGAACACACTGATAGACAAATCTGTCCTTTCACCACTATATTCCCAGCTTCTGGACACAGAACACAGTGATCTCTCAATTAGTGGATACTTGTGATATGAAAGAACTGAGGATTTGAGAGGAGTGCAGAGGAGCAAGATTGGTCACAGGCGGTTAAGTGTGAAGGGACCACTCACTACGTCAAGCAAGCAATCACTCTGCCCAATGCTTGCTCCAGAACCTTAGAAAAGGGGCACAGGTGCAGGGTGGATTCCATTTCTCTCCAGAATCCAGTAAACTAGACTAGGCTTTGAGTAAAATCAACTGAAAGGGACGACAGATGCAAACTACGTATGAAATGTTAAGTGACATCTGCAGCCAAAAGAAAATGAATGCATGTTCCTTGTATTCCCGGCAGACATGGGAATCCGGAAACCACTCATAACCCTCTCCCTAGTACTGAGTACTTAATAACAAACACCTCTGGAAAGGAACCCGGCCCTCTTCTGGAGAAGCTGCAACGTTTCCGCCCAGAGCTCCCCCGGCCACACAGCACCCCTGGAGTGCGTCCCACCCTGAACGCCGCGGCTCGCTGACCCTAAGGGACACTACCCTAGTGCGCGCAAGTCTCCCAAACTTCCTCCCGCCGCCCGGGCCCGGATCAACTCAAGGAGGGTGGCATTCCCTCCCGACAGCAAGGGAGGTGGCGCTGGCCGCCAGGACCCCGCAGGGTGGCGGTAGGCGTTCCAAGGTCACCGCCCTTCACACCACCCGAGGCCGGACCGCCTCGGAGCGCGGTCTCGTGACTCCTGCGTGCAGCAGCCTCGGCTCTCGGGGCCAGCCCTGCAGCGCTGGGTTGGGGAGCCTGTCCCGGACGAGGGGAGAGGTGGGAGCTCAGGGCCCCGCGGAGCGTGGGGCTGCGACAGGGCAGGTGTCGGGCTGGGAAGGCCACCTCCGCCCCCAGGAGACCCCGGAGCGGCTTGTTTGTCCCCTCCCGTCCGCTGCCCCCTGCCCACGCAGGGGCACCTGCTCCCCGACTCCGAGAAGAGGGTCGGCGCTTTCCCGAGGTGGATACACCTGAGGAAGGGGGCGGGGCGCCCCTAACGCACCCGGGGCCCGCTCTCCTCGCCGCCCCGCGGCTCGGCCCTCTCTTCAGCAACCCCGACCTGCCAGGGAAGGAGGCGTTCTTACCTCCGGGAAACCCTGGCCCTCCGGCCCCTTGGGTAACCCCATATTCCGACCCGGCTGCCGTACGGCGACAGCGAACCCCGCCAAGCGTCCGGAGGAAGCTGTCCCTGCAGCGAAGCTGCTACCGGGGTGGAGTGCAAAGCGGAAACTTCCTGCGGCGCTGCTGCTGCCGCCGGCCTGGAGCGCAGCAGCCGGGCGGAGCATGCGCGTTGGGGCCGCAGCGCGGCGCCACTGCGCCTGCGCCTCAGCAGCCCTGGGAGACGTGGGCTGGGCAGTGGGTCCTAGCGTTGTTCTGGACCTTTGGCCGGGTGCTCTGACGTTTCCTCCGAAGCGCCACAGGAGAGGGGTTCCTCCTGCATCTGGAGAACATTTTGCATTTCGGCGCCCTTCCCTTCTCGCTGGCATCGGATGCCCCAGGTGGGTCCCGTTTCTCCGTGAACCAGACTTGGAACACCCCCTCGCACAGGGTCCGAGTCCAAGCACAGATGAGCTTGAGAATTCCGAATCCATGCCCGGCTGTAGCCCTTATAAGCATACGCTTGGACAACCTTCTCCCTATACGGACCAGGAACGGACCCCCTGAGAAGGGGTTCTTCACGCTCGCAGCCCTCCCCAGCGTCCTGGCCAGTGCATCGCGTTCCCAGGCAACTTGGCTTAGGATTTTGCCTAGCACCCCGCCCCATTCAAGGTTTCTGGGTCCTCCTGGAGGAATGACATCTCAGAGAATGCGGACTCCTGTGTTCACGTCACTTTAGCGGCCGCGTCCCCTATTTGGTATACCCCTTGTCGGTCCCTGAGGGTGGCGGCTAGACAAAAGGTCACAGGCCCCCACGCCCACTCCATAACGGCTTCCTGGCTTTTTGTGTCTTTTAAGCGATGAGGAAACAGGTGACTTCCATGAAAACTTTTGCTGTAGAAGAGATCCTTCCCTCTGTATATGTGTGTGGGATGGAGAGTGTCAGACACTTAGCTCCTTGAGATCAAAAAGGTTTTGTTTGCTTTCCTCTCTTCTTTGCATCCCTAGCATCTTTAAAAGAGTAGGCAGGCACGGTGGCACATGCCTGTAATCCCAGCATTTTGGGGGCCGAGGTGAGAGGCTCACTTGAATCCAGGAGTTGGAGACCAACTTGGGCAACATAATGAGACCTCTATCTCTATAAAGTATAAGAAAAGTAACCCAGTGTCAGTGGTCCCAGCTAGCCGGTAGGCTGGGGTGGGAGCATCGCTTGAGCCAGGAAGGTTGAGGTTGCAGCGAGCTATGATGACACCACTGCACTCCAGCCTGGGTGACAGAGCAAGACTGTTTAAAAAAAAAAAAAAAAGTATGCAGTGATGTTTTCTTTTTGACTTTTTTGGCACCTTTTGTACTTCTGGAGTTTATCCTGACAGACAGAGGTTTGTCTGGAGCCAAAGCTCACAAGTAGTTGGAAGTGCCCTAAGAACATCATTTCATTCTTAAATATAACTAGCAGATATTACTCAAAGCTGTGCACGATCCCCGACCCCTGGTCGCCAATAATTTGAATAATTTAAATATGCAAGTTAAGGTGTTGAGATGGGAACCCTTCTGTGTGGTACATCTAGCTCTTACCCCTTGTGAAGCTAATAAAACTCAATTTCTATTCTCATAACTTCCCAAATGTGTTGTTTTTGTAGCTTTAGAACTGTCCTCCGCTGAAATGGTATAGGTTGAGGGGGAATGGAGGGTAATAATCATTTGTGGCCGCTATTGAGTAACCAGACAGATACTGATGCCTAGGAATGGGTAGCAAGATCTCACATAGCAGGCAAACCTAAACAGCTGTATGTAATAGCAGCCCGGAGTCTAGGGCTTGGAGAATAACAGGACTCGGACAGCCCACACCCCAAGTCCCCTGTTATAATGCTTTTGCAATGTTTTAAATAAGCATGTGTAGCTAACTTCCTCAGTAAGAGACTGTCCTATGTTACTATAGGTGTAGGGTGACAGTAACAGAGTTGAGGGCCATGGGGCATGCTTAGAAAAAAAAGAAAAAAACAGCTTAGTGAAACAGGCATGATAGCCATCAAGAAAGTTTGAGCAGGGCTAGGCAGTACCTGCTTGTAGTCCCTGCAACTCGGGAGGCTGAGGCAGGAAACTTGCTTGAGGCCAGGAGTTCTGGGCTTTAATAAGCTATGCCAGTCAGGTACCTGCACTAAGTTTGGCATCAATAAAGTGACTTCCGGGGAGGAAGTTTGCCTAAGGAGCAGTGAACTGGCCCAGGTCAGAAACAGCAGGTCAAAATTCCTGTGCTGGTCATTAGTAGGATCACGATCGTGATCCCACTGCACTTCAGCCTGGGCAATATAGCAAGACACTGTCTCTTAAAAAAAAAGTAAAAGAAAGTTTGAGCAGCCCATATTTGAGAGTGGAAACCCTTCACAGTCTTGAAGAAGACCTTGAACAGACAATACAGAGGAGACTTGTGAGGAAGCTCTCAGATAAATCCATCTCTCTCCCTTTCCCTTCACTCCAGGTACCCTCATACATTGCATCTCCCTAGTGTGATGTCTGAGGACCAGAAATCAGTCATTCTGTCTTTCTTCTGTACACTGAGTACAGAGTTGTGTGATGTTCTTCTAATTGCAAGATTTTTGGAGCCTCACAAATACTTTCCAGTTCCTAGATAAAGGAGTACCATAGTGATACAGTTTGGATATTTGTTTGCACCACCCAGATTAATCCTCAGTGTTGGAGGTGGGGCCTGATGGGAGGTGATTGGATCCCTCGGGTGGATTTCTCATGAATGGTTTGGCACCATCCCCTGGTGCTATCTTCGTGATACGTAGTAAGTCACTCATCATGAGATCTGGCTGTTTAAAAGTATAGCACCTTACCCTCTCTCTCTTGCTCTTGCTTTCGCCATGTGACGAGTCTGCTCCCCTTTCACCTTCTACCATGATTGTAAGCTTCCAGAAGCCTCCCCAGAAGCCAAGGAAATGCTGGCACCATGCTTTCTGAAAAGCCTGTAGAACTGTAAGTCAATTAAACCTCTTCTTTAAAAATTACCCAGTCTCAGGTATTTCTTTGTAGCAATGTGAGAATGGCCTAATTCACTTAGTAAAGAGCTTCCTGTTAGGCTTAGCTTTGTTCTGGAGGAAGTTTTCTATAAAGCCTCAATTATTCTGTCTCCAGGCTTCTCTCATTCCTTCTACTCTGGGCTCTTGCTATGACCAAAAAGGGGAATGATGAAATCGTAAAGCAAGAAGGGAAGTTAAAAAGACATGTAGTGCAACAGTGGGTGTTCAGTAAAGCAGAGTGACACAGCTTAGGTCACACAGCACATTTGAGGTAGTGCTGGAACTAGAGCCCCACGTTTCTCATTCCCCATGTTTTTTAACTCACCCATCCATCCATCCATCCATCCAACCTCCCATCTATCCATCCATCCATCCAACAAATATTGCAGAGTTACTTCTACATTAGTAGCTCTCAAATTTGGCTGTACATTGGAATCACCTGGAGTCTACCCTCAGCAATTCTGATTTAACTGGGCTGGGAGATGCATGAATATTGAATTTTTTACCTTGGAACATATTGTTTTATATACAGCACAGTAGTGAATAATGACTTCATTATGGGTTGGTTTATTTATAGATCACAGCAGCATACAAAATTCAAAATCCATAGACAAACTAAGAGCTCATAGGTTAAATGAGTTCTCCCTAAAAATTCTTAATGGCATGCTGGTCTATTCTTAAGCAGTACAATTTTATAATGCACCATCCTATATTTAGCATGTCACATTTCTACAGTAAAATAATGGAGGCACAAGCAGTGCAAACAGACTTAAACCCCTTCTACTTCCGAAGGTTTAAAAAAACACAGGGTGTACACACACAGACTTGGATGAGCTCTTTCAATACATTTTTCAAAAAAAATGATAGTTTTATCAAAAAATTTTAATGACTTCCATAGTTTATACAATCATGCTCTATTAGCTACATTTAGAAGAATTTGACAAGGACTAAACTACACAGTAGTGAATAAACAAGCTTGAGAATATCTGCTATATTCTCTGTCTCCAGGAGAAAATGATATTTACATTTTTGGGTAAAGTGATTTAATAATTAAACAATTCTGTTTTTTTGGTGGTGGGGAATAGGATTTTCAAACCTTCACAGGCTCCCAATGAACAGTCAATTTGAGAAGAGTTGCTCTGTGCCAGAAACTGTTCCTGGTGTTGGAGATATCGCGATCAACACACCAAATGGGATAATTACTCATAGAAATTAAACATTTAATTAATAAGATAATATCAGGGAGAAACAGGTGCTACTGAGGGGAGGGAAACAGTGTAGCTTGGGTGTGAAAGCTCACACCTGTAATCCCAGAGCTTTGGGAGGCCAATGCCAGCAGATTGCTTGAGCCCAGGAGTTGCAGACCAGCCTAGCAAACATGGCAAATATCTGTCTCTACAATTAAAACACACACACACACACAGACACACACACACACACAGTGTAATACAATAAAGAATAGCTAGAGTCAGAGTCGCTTTTAGATGAAGGGGCCAGGATTAGGCTTTCACTGTCATTTGAGAGGAGACTTAAATTCCAAAAAGGATGCCGTAGAAGAACCTCAGGGGAAAGCATTGCTGGCCAAAGGAGCATCTGAGGTGTTCTGCACACTTTCCCATTACCCTTCCAGTCCTGCTCCTAGTCCTCTTCTTGTTTGTTTCAGCATAAGGCTGACCAGTAAGGGCTTCAGCAGCAGGGCCTGGGGTATGAGGATCTGGGATGTGGATCTTGGGATGAAGGGATATCTGGGATGTGAGTCCTAGGGTTTGGGGAAACTGAGTTATAGGGTCTAGGGAGTAAGATTTCAATAGTAATTTGGCAAAATATATTAAGAACTTAAAAAATATCCTTTGATATGATGCTTCCACTTTTAGGGCTAATATAAGATCTTCATCACAATGTTACTGATAAGAAAAAAAACCTATAAACTGTATAAATAGCCCATAATAAGGGACTGGTTAAGTACATTACAGTCTGTCCATTTGATGCAACATCATATTGCCAGTGAAAATGTGTGCTTCAGCAGGCCATGAAAAAAACAGTGAGAGATGAGGCTGTATAAATATTAACAATGTCTGCCTGCCAAAAAACCATAAAAATATTTAAAAGGCAAACTGGAAAAATATTTGTTACCTGTGACAAGAATTCTTCCAAATGCGGAA